ATGCTGCTCATCTTGTTGAACTAATGCTAAAATTCCAGCACAAATTGGGTTAAAATTGCACCAGTTGAATTCCGAGCCATGCTGCTAAAACTACCTCCAGGATGTGGTTTACAAATAGAATCAATACGATCAGCTGAGGTACAAGCCCATTCCAAAGAAAGTTAAACCTTGAAGAAGCATTTTAATGTAATTGTGAAATGGTCACGCAAGTTGCTTCACTGATAGAAATACAGTAAATAACAAATTAAGTAAATTTTATTTTGCTTTTTCTTTCCGTTCTGGTACAATTCTATTTCATCTACTACCAATGCCAAATCATTCTGCAACTAATAGCAAAGGAAATCTACAAATAAAGTCATATACTCTCACATTCCTAAAATATTCTGTTATAAAACATAAGTCATGATCTGGGCCAATAGAAAAGTGCAGATATATTTGCCCAAAATTGCAGGGAAATCTTGCAGAAAATGTTGAGGCATTAATTGGTGCTATTGAGGAACATTTTACTGCCAACCTACATTTTTTCACTTCATTGATAAAAAATAAACATGAGGAAATAGCATATATTAGATTGTTGCAAAAAAAAAATTGCTTCTTTAACAAAAAACTGGGTGGCCTTATTTTTGGGGGGATGGGGAGGGGGGACCAGCGAGGTTACAGGAGCTCTCAGTACCCAGCACCACACAGACCCAGAGAGAGACACCCACAAACACACAGAGGACAGGGAGACACAGATATACTCACACAGACACTCACAAATAGAGAGAGAGACACACACAGGCACTCACAAATGCATATAGAGACACACACATGTGATCATACACTCTCACACACTCTCTCACACACACATAGACAATCACAACAGCGAGGCCTCTGAGTGAAGCCTATTTGCCGCATCGCGCATGCACTTTCAGAGTCACCTCACCCACAGTGACGTCAGTTAAATAGCCAGGAAGCCCACAGGCCAGAAACTACATTGATAGCGGGTTTGTAGCGGGTGAGGGTGTTTGTGATGGTTTCCATGGAAAGGTGCTGGCCCAGGCCACAGTGTAATCAGTTCTTATCGTAGGTTGATCATGACGAGTCAAATGAATTGCCTTGCCACTCACCAAAACCAGTGGATCTTATTTAATGTGAGATGAGAAGCATTGATTATGGTGCGCTGGGCAAAACTTGCTTCGGTGTTTCTTGTAAACTTGTTTTTTTGGTTATCGCACATAAAACCATCATCATGCTTAAGGATATCCAAACCAGACTGAGAATTCCACTTATACATTCCATCTAAGTCTGGAAATTTCTCTGTGTTTGGAATGTAATGTATGCTCTCTCTCCCTGGAGGGATGCGCCCTGCTTACCTAACTCCAGGAAGTATTTCAAGCAGGTTAGCAACTCTTCAGAGTCCCCAGAGTGTCCTTTTGGGGGTACTGTAGAGTTTAACCAACAAAAAACGCTTGCCATTGAGAGCACTTTCTGGCAAGCTTCCTGTTGCTTGTCTGGCTATGATCATTCTACCTAGTAGGGTTTTTGCTTGCAGGGTAAACAGAAGCTAATTAGGAATAAACCCTGTTCCCAAAAATGGTTTGACAATTCTGTGTAAGCATTTTTTTATATTAATATTTATGGCATCCTATGGCGCTTTAAAACTAAAAGGCCACAATTTTCCACGGAATTTCCAGACCAAAGGGCTAATCTTAAATAAAGTTTGGTATTGAATAATGTACTTATCATTAACATATGCCATTACTTTGATGTGTAATGAATTTTGTTGTTTGTGTAGGCAAATGAAATAACCAATCTTGGCTAACATCCCACAAACAACAATGAGATAAGTAGCCAATTAATTTAAAGTTTTGCAAGCTAATTTTGGATGATGGAGGAATAATGGGCAGAACACACCCTATTTGCATTTAAATTTACAGTGAAATAAAAGGAAATTACAAAAATCAGGAGAGGGAGAACAAGAAAGAAATGATGTGGGAAAAATGGGCAACATAGAGGTAGGGAGATTGGGTCTGGAGTGTCGACGAATACGTACATATACAGAGGTTTAGTGACTTAAATCAGGCATTGTTTAGCCATAACTTCTGAGCGGTTTTATGCACTCTGGCTCAAAATTGAACGAGACTCGCAACTGTAATCTCTCTCCATCCATCACATGCTGTCTCAGAGCTGAATTGGCAATCGTTTTTTTTTTAAATTTCTCTCACTCACATTTGAGTTTTGTGAAATAAAATATCACCAAGATTGGACACATCTTATTCAAGTAGATCATTAGCATCAGCCACTTAGGGAGTTATCAACAAGGATTTAATCACAACCCAATTGGATCTCATTGATGCTAATGCCAATCAGATTACTGTAGTTAGTTCAGGTGTTTTGTATTTGCACTTGTAGAGCAGATAATTGGAAAATTTGACCTCCTTTTGCCTCTTTAAATAAAGCTAAAACTGTGATTCAAATTTAGTAAGGTCTATTTAAATTTTTACCTGAGACAAAAATGTGGGTATGCTCCAGGGATCATTTGGTTCAGAACCAATATATTGTGATGGAAAGTCTGATCACATATATTGTGAGGTTTAGAAAATGTTTTGCAGAAGATGTGCACTAGTTAATAGAGAAGAACATTTTAAAGCTTGTTTTCCCCTTTATTTCATAATCTTAATTTTGCACTTTTTAGAAGCTGATCTAGCGATATCTAAAGTTTTGATCTAATGTCAAGAAATGCAGTTAATCCAGAGCTAACTTCTGTGTCCAGCTGTGAACACTGATTTAATGCAGTAGTTATACACTTGGTTAAACAGTGTGGTATGTATTAACATGCTTAGTATCTCTCAGTATTGCACATTCATCCTGAAGGGGTTGTTCTTTACTTATATGCATTTCCACAAGGATCATGGATATGTGAAGCAACAAAGTGGCTGAACTACTGCTGTTATTAACAGTCACTTATGTATGCGAAAATCAAATACTGACTCTGCCTTCTTATTAAAAGATGCCTGAAAATTTGCTTAGGTGCCTCTAAAATGAGGTTTCCAATTGTACTATTTGCTACTTACTGATGGAAAACATTCATTGATGCTGACATAATGGACTAGGTTATCGTATCTTGTACACTCTATGATGTAGATGACATTTAAATGCAGCTAAAAAGTAGCTTTATGATACCTTCATTGTATTCCTCTAATGTAAAAAGCAACATTGAACACACACAGGTGATATTGCTTGTAATTAAGTACACCGACTCTGACAATGTATGCTTACAATAGGACTTCCCTAATCTAAGTGCACACTGTCAAAGTCACCACATATAATGGCAGGTAGAATATCACAACTATTGGGCGTCTTAAGAAGCATTTTTGTGGCATAGTTTCTGCATGACTAACAGAAAAAGTACCTACTATGTAAATAGACTCCTTGCTAGGGAATGCCCTATATATGACGTAGAATCACGAGACTGACTTTGATAAGCAAATCAATGACATTTTTTGGGTTGGGTTGGTTGGATGGACCAGTGGTCTACCATTGCCTGTAACTGTTTCTGTGTTACCATCTAACTAATTACATTTGTGAAAATCCTAATTTAACAACAATTATTTAAGTACTGTTTCCACAATTACTTTAACAATAACTTTCTCAGCTGGTAGTACGAGCACTTTGGAAACTGACTGACCAAAAATGATTTAACAAAGATTTTCTCTACAGTTCAGCATTGGCCATTGAAATTTAATCAACACAGTTCACATTTTAGAAACAAATATACATTTTATGACATTTAATCATAATGGTTTAATTCCCTATAAATATTTTTTAGAAAAAAGTACGTGAAAGAGGTCCAAAAAGATAGGTTTACAATTAGAAAAATTAGCAGTATTTGGGAGTAAAATACTACCAAAGTTCATTCTTGCCTTCCAAATATAGAAGCAATTTCCTTATAGAGAATTCTTTACTTCTCTCATCTAACTTAATGAACATCTCTACAAATGTAATTTTGTGTTTTGTATTTTAAATACATAGGAAGACCAAAGCAATCTTGCGTGGATTGCTAGGAAGTTACATCCCTTGAAACAAAGCAAAGCACAAGGGTGTTTCATCTGCCAGCTGCTTGCTACACATAATTTTGTTTCCTGTGTCTTTTGAAAGTTAATAAAATCCAAATGAGAGTCAGAAAATTGTTAATAGTTTCATTGTGTACATTTCTACATTTATGCATGAAGCTTAAGAATCTGAACCACATCGTTTCAGTAGACTCACAATAACTCTACGCCCTCAAATGCAAATATGGGTGAACACATTTCCTAATATTTAAAACTTGGATTTAACTAAAGAGACTGTTTGCTAGATGCTGGTTATTCTACGTCTCTGAACATTTAGGCCAGTCAACTTCATCAGACCCAATTATCATGAATAAGGATAGGATGGAGGGTTATTATAAAATATGCAGGAATATTTGATTGAATGAATGTGGTGTGAAGCAGTAATGGCACACATGCAAGCTATTGGACAGTGGCAACTTGCCAAGAAATGTCATTCATTAAGGGTTTACAATGCACAATTAAATTCAGATCTATATTCTGGAGCTTTGATTGATTGATCTTTGGGAAGTGGCAAAGAGAAACTTGCAGAACCTACGTTCAGCAGGTTAAGTGGTTTAAACGGGTTTCGTCAAAGCACAGATTGTCGAATGTCTATGAAGTGATGGGCTAAATGGCTGCTCTACCTTCCACAGTTTCCTATGTTCTTGTAGTAATTGTATGCACCTTAGATTTCTAACATTACACTACAAATGTATTGGATAATTTGCCTTCACTATAAATGTTTTGATAAGTTTTTATCAGATGAGATGACCAATTATGATGGTACCATATTTTATAAGCAATGTGATTAAACACTGTTTTGTTAAATAGCACTGTGGATGGAACAATCTGCAAGTTTCTCACTAGCACTTCCCAAAGGTCAATCAATCAAACTATTTTTGTTTTATTCACATTCTTGTCATCAAGGGATGGCTGTGTGAGCTTTTGCGCTGGAAGGAAGACCCATCACCAGAGAATCGGACGCTTTGGGAAAATTTGTCATTGATTCGAAGGTTCCTGAACTTTTCTCAGGCTGAAAGAGATGCCATTTATGAACAAGAGAGCAACTTAATCCATCACCATGGAGACAGACCAACCCACATTATCCATGTTCCAACAGAACCAATACAGGTGAATTTACCTTGAATAACTACTATTTATACATATGCGAATTAAGAACTCTCTCTGAAAAGAGGAAGTTATTTTGTAGTTTCTTCTAATAATTGGAAACTACATAGTGAATTGATACTGATATGTTACCAAGCAATTTAATATTGAAACACATTAATAGTTATTGTTATTATTATAATTTGTATTATTTTTACTAAAGATAGAATTATATAGATGTGTTAAAGATAATAGAAACTTGATAGGTTTTTGAAGGGTTTTGACAGAGTTACACAAAGTAATAAGGCATGAAAACAAGCCATTTGGCCTAACTTGTCCAGCCCCTAGCTCCCTCCATTTCATCTGGCCTACCCGCTCCCTCCATAAACTCTTGAATTTTATGTTATGTTTCTGGAAGGGAAACACAAAAATACTGCTTATGTGGCCTGCGGATGTTTCTCAAATAGGGCATCTGTCCCACAGCAGACTAAAGTTTGGACCACCCAATCCCTTCCCACCAATCCAATTCCACTCACCTCTTTCCCTTTTCCTTCTCCCTCATGTATGCATTAACTTTTCTCTTCACTACATTGATGCTGTTTGTTTCAACCACAGCTTCTGGCAGCGAGTTCCACATTATGACCAGCTTCTAAGTGAAAAATGTTCCTCCTAAACTCCCTATTAGATCTACTCCAAGCTATCTTATATTTGTGCCCTCTAGTTACAGCCAATGAGACAAATTATTTCCACAGATTGGTGAGTTGGTGACTATAGAGCATTACTAAAAGATAGTTACAAAATAAAAGCAGACGGGATTAGTAGGAATTTATTGCACTGAGTTGTTAGGATGTGGAATGCCCTGCCAGGAACAGTGGTAGAGGCAACAACCATACCAGATAGACCCATAGAAATCCATAGCCCAGAAGAAAGCCATTCAGCACATCGTGTCTGTGCCAGCAAGATAGATACCAAAAAGAAGTCATTTGTAGGGATATGGGGGAAAGACAAGTAAATGGGACTAAATGATTGCTGCTTCAAAGAGCTAGCACAAAGGCAAATGATCAAATGGCCTTCTTCTGTAATGTAAGGTGGTTCAATGGTTCTATTTTTCTTCTGCATTGCCCTAAGTGTGAATGAGGATGGGATTAAAATCATAAGGACAGTAGTTTTATAACGTAAAGATAGCAGATGGTTTATCAAAGGTTGCTTATAGAATGTTGTAAAGCCAGTACATTTATCAATTGCTCTCTTGCCTACAGCAACAGTCAGCAGCACCCCGGCTTGCACCTAAGCAGCCCACGGCATCACCAGCAGAATCAGAAGATGAGAGTCGCCAGAAGCCTAGATCTCGCACTAAAATATCTGTAGAAGCCCTGGGGATCTTGCAGAGCTTTATACAAGATGTGGGCCTGTACCCAGATGAAGAAGCAATTCAGACTCTGTCTGCTCAACTTGACCTACCCAGGTTTACCATCATCAAATTTTTTCAAAACCAGCGTTACCATCTAAACCATCATGACAAACTGAAGGACCATGCTGGTTTGGAGGTAGATGTGGCAGAGTATAACAAAGAAGAGTTACTGAAGGACTTGGAGGACTCAGAGGAAAGTGAGGAAAACAAAAGTTCAAAGGAAATATTTTCAGTTAAAATAGAAGATACCTTGTCAGGAGAAGGGACAACAGAAAACATAGATTGTGATCAGGAGCCAAATGACTGACTCCTGATTTCACATTACAGTAGCTTATCATTTCTTTCCTCAACCTGTGCCACTAATGTAATTGTATGAAAAACTGTCTACTTTCCTGCATTATTCATCAGAAAGACCAATTTGTCTTTACAAACTTGCACAAAACAAACCCCGATAAACAATCCCAGTAAAAGACTGAACAATTTTCCTGTGGATAATGCAGACTGCACTAAGTTTTTCTTTTTTCATGCAGACACGCAACAACAACAACTTGCATTTATATAGCGCCCCTCATACAGGGTAGCGTCCCAGAGCAGCTACATATGAAGTATTTGGGATCGTCTTGAACATTTTTGTAATTGCTGTTTACGGATTAATGACAGCTTCTGTGCACAGTACCAGCAGAGGAAACTGGCACTGTTTGTTATTTGACTGTATTGGCTGTCAAACATAAAATTCAGGAGCCTTCCGCAAAGCATTACAGATTACCTGGTTCTGAATGGATCAAACACTCCAGTTTCAAATCGCCATTCATACCAGTGTGTTTTTTGCAATTTACAAAAAAAATCTGGCCTTTTAAAAATTTTTAAAAAATGTACAAGAGGATAGTTTGCGCTTAGCTATATATCATAAAGTTGCAAAAAAAATCCCTATTCACTGCAGAGTGCAGTGTTAATGGAAAATATGCCAATAATTGCCTTGTGTAATATGGCACTGCCATCATTCAATTATTCTGCAAAAGAGCAATCACTGTAACTGTCTTGTCATTACCTGATTTTAAAATGTGAAACACACCTTTTTTTAATTTTGTGTAGTCTAGATTATTTATTTTCAGAAAACTTGGCTTCATGATGTAATTAATTTTTTTGAAGTTTCTGTTACATGTAACATGCTTTTTCATACTGACCTTTTCTATTTATAAATGTATTTTGATGGGCAGTGATACAAAGTGTCTTAAAAGTTTCAATTGAAAAATTGTGCTTTAAAATTTGCCTAAACAAACTGCTGTATGTTATCAAAGCAATTTCATACCATGGGCTTCACTCTTAATGGTGTATGCAATTTTCTATATTAATGTTAAATCATCATGCAAACAACCATAGGTCAATAAAAATAGAACATGTTAGATAACTTATAAAATTCACACAAAAAATAGATGTTTTGCAATGTGTCTTCCTTCAGTTTACAATGGATTTGAAGCTTTTTCAGTATAAATTTCTGTATGAAGATTACAAGTGTATCTTTTTTTTATGAGTTATCTTGCTATGTGAAACTATGAGATCACAAATTATTTTGTTAAATCTGACCATGTTGGACCCTTTTTTAAAGCATATCACAATTTTTCTTTATGCAAAAATGTTCAGATATGGATGGTTATTAATTGTTAATTGCACAATTAAACTATCTTTGTATAATACAATATTGCTTGTCTGCCTCTATCTTCAATCTTGTTGAAATATATGTTTTGGGTACAGCTCGTCACATGTATAGTATGGTTCAACAACAAAATGTTGCATTTATAGAGCACCCTTCATGTGGAATAATGTCTTGGAGCACTTAAAAGCTCACTTCAGTTAATCAAATTCTATCCGGTCTAATATTCTTTATTTTCTGATGTACTTGATACACATTTTTTTTAAATGGTGTGGAAAAACCTTAGGCAAGTTTCTTTACTCCAGTTGCCTCTTTGCCTAGCAATAAGTAGGAACCCAGTTGTTAAGTCGATTGGCCGACCGCTTTCCGGGGCTAATAATCCCTCTAAAAAAAATTGTTCACTCAATCCTGTTTGTGGGACACTGTTTTATACAATTGGCTGCCACATTTCTCCCACAAAATACACAGTTAATCCACTTTACAATACATTCTGTGAGGCGCTTTGAGACGTTTCAATGACGTGATAAGGTACTATATCAAATACGAAGATTATTATTAAATGTTGTGCTGAGGAGGGGAAGAGTTGCTTAGAAATTGAATTCTTTCCCATTTTCAAGTTTAGGCACCTATGTGGTGTTAGTAACATGCAATTTAAATGCAGCACAATCAACAACAACAACAAAATTACATTTATAGAGCGCCTTTCACGTCAGGAGGTGTCATTCCATTTACGGAGTCCTAGGAATATGCAGAGGCAAATAATACCCCTAATACATCGCCATTTCCTCCTGAAATGTCCATTTTGTCCTGAAAACAGCGATTTTGTAGTGGGGTGGCCCATTCTTTTTGAAAGTATATTGAATTTGTTCAACTTAATTTCGCTATCAAAATCATAAGAAATTAAACTGAAAGAAAGAACGTGCATTTTTATGACACTTTATAGATCGAAACATCTCAAAATGCTTTACAGTAATTACGGTCGAGTATGGTGGCTGTTTTTTGGTAGGCAACTACAGCAGCTATTTTGTGCGCCGCCGTGTCCCACAAACAATAATGAAATGGATGACTGAGGGAAGCTCTCCTCTCTTTTAGAATAGTGTCATGGGTCTTTAATGCCCGCCTGAGGAGAGGCAGGCAAGACTTCGAATTAATGTTTCATCTGAAGGATGACACTTCTGACAACATAGCACTCACCCATTACTACATTGGATTGTTAGCCGGTACATGGACTCATAATACAGTATATATTCTATAATTATAGTCATCTAAATCCAATTTGTGTTGATATGGAGGTGGAAATAATCTGGTCCAGAGATAACAAAGGAGGAGGCAGGTTAATTATAAATTTAAATGTTTGACAAGTCTTGTTTGAAGATATTAAAGAATGTACCCAAGCCCCTGATACTTCACTCACCGTGTCCCCATTGTAATGGAGTTTAATTTATTTAATATGTCAACCTTATGTCAACCTCTCTCAGTTGATAGCACTTGAACTTCTGAGTGAGACGGGTAGGTTCCAGCCCCACATTGGGACATATATGGTCTATTGACACTCTAATATAGTGCTGGGGAAGAGGTGTGTTGCAGTGTTGGAGTTTCTCCTGATGTCCTAGCCAACAATTTCACCAAATAAAATCGGTCATTCACTTCATGATTTCGTGGGACATTGCTGTGCATAAATTGGCGGCCCCATTCATTTACAAAATACTCAGTCACTCCAATATTCAGTATATTCTGCAAAGTGTTTTGAGGCATTTTCCTGATGTGAAAGGCACTACATAAATGCAGTTTGTTATTTCTTTGTGAGATTTACAAGTGGATTTGTAAATAGTGAATTCGGGAATGTGTCAGAGCCAACCCTCAGGAACTCCGCTTGAACCCAACTTCACAGAAGTTAATACTGAGATTGAAATCTGAGTGGAGTTTCAGAGAATTGGTCGGTAAAACATCCGAGACTCACCATTCAGAAACATTTTTCAAAGCTTGCAAATTAGACCCGAATGGCACTTGAATTGATAATTCTGAAATAGGCTTTCTAAAAGGTGATGGTTTCTAATTTTAGGTTGTAGCTGCACAGTCAGGCAGCTGGAAGATAAAAGAAGGAGGTAAGCGAGGGCATGCAGCATGAGACTGGAAATATGCCAGCAGTCAATTGGGAATAGCACATTATGAAGCTACTACCATTAGGTTTGATCAAAGATATGTTTTTTTTTATCTGCAAATCATATACCTGGACTATTCAAACCATTAGGTTCCCAATTCTGTTCAAGTTTATATTCAATAATCATTACATTTCCTTTGAATTATTTCCAGCTCCGTCCTTTGTTTGCTGTCTGTTTTCACATGAGGAACCTGTTACAATTTCTAATCATGACATTTTGCTGCAGGATCCACATCTTTTTAACTTTACTGACTGCTTTAAACAGCAGAAATGCCAAATACTGGGGGAGGGAAACTTGGGAGGAGCGATTCACTTCATTCTAGTCTAACAAACAAGGAAGGCTCACTGGGGTTTGTAAAATCTTAGTTATGATGGAACAATTAAATTGTCAGTATTCACTCACTTGGGAATTTCTAGAAATCCCATAAGGTTTTTATCTCTTAATTACAAGTGTAAGCCACATATAAGACTTGGGGATTCTGCTTTTCTCTTGTGGACAACTAGTGCCACTTGATTGCAAGTAGCTGCTACTAACTGAACTGGATTACAAGAGGGAGAGATCCTGTATTTTTTTCATGTGGCAACCTCTTAAATTAGAAACTAAGTAGACTGGCTAACCAGGAAATGTCAGATTTTCTGCAGGAATGTTCCTGACACAAAGTAATGAACCAAATAGATTAAATATACCATGTAAAAGGTCTGGAATGAAAGAAAACATCTTCTGGGTTCACATTACCCACGACTATGACATTGTAAATATATTGATAGCAGTGAAGGACCAGTCTGCAAGAAACGGTGAGATGTATTTTCTGCAGATTGTTCCCTCGCTCATTATCTGAAAACAACATCCCCTAAATGCAGATTTATCATCAAGTATATGTGATGTTATTCCAATTAACAATTCTCAGCAATACATCCTAATGTTATAGTTAGAGAAGACAAAGAAACAGGTAGCACAAATTGAAAGAAATTAATTTTTCAAAAGTAAGACCGACTATAAATACACAAAGAGTAATTATTTAAACTGCAAGTTATTTCATATTCCTTAAACAATACATCTGCAAACACAGTCACTCACAGGAAATCACAGGAGGTACACAGGAAAACCTGTGAAGCGTTTTGAAACATCCTCCCTATGTGAAAGGTGCTACTTTCAAATGCAAAGATTATTATTATAAGTATCTTCCAAGTCTAATGGATTTTCTTTAACTCTTATCATTTCTGGTCTGTTGTCGCTGTCTGCCTCATAGACAAGCCCCTACTTTTTCAATTTTAATTTCTAATTTTGGCTACTATAATTTAATAGAACACTTTTGTCAAACACTTCAGCCCAAAACTATATTAGTGTTATTGATAACTCTATCACATTATGACATCACCGAGATTGTAGTGCATTGAATTATTGTAATGTTAAAAAGGATATTTCCTATAATATATTGAGTTCATCCCTTAACTGATATTTGATTCTCAATGAAGCCCTCTAATGAAGCCTCATTATCATCATTTTTCACCATTTATTTAACTTCCACAAACAAATGTTTAGGTAGCCATTGAAACTGATAGCAAAGAAGGCTCTTGGGAGGCTGTCTTTTTTACATTTGACATCTCATAGTGGCGATGCAGGTACATGTATGGCCTTCCTCCAGTCATCATAGCATTTGTTGTCTCATTCTGTCTTTGCACCCTGAAACCCAGCGTTTATAAAAAAAATCACTCTGCTGCTATATAGTGGGGAAAGCTCTCTTTTGTTGTCGAAATTTATTCTTCCATGGCAACTTTATAGTCCAATCTGACACTCCAATGCTGTAGCTGCAGATGACAGAAATTGCCTGTGATGCACCAGGAGACATTTTAATGTTAAAAGTGCAATATCAAATAGCATGATTATTAATATAGTAGCTTATTAACATTTTATCCACGATTCACCAATTTTTTATTTATTTGTCAGATTTATGATGCTGGACACAAGGCAATTGCCATACAAATGGATTTGAACCCTGAGCAGTGTAAATTGAGAATCTGGATAGACAATACCACAGTTCATAAACAAAGACAGATAGACTCATTCTGAACTTTGGGGCCAGAATACAGATTTAGCATTGTTCTCAAATATCAGTTCTATTCATATCCCAGTGTGATGCAGAAAATCATGGCAGATACCATCATCACTGACAAGGTTCAACTTCAGGAATGGACCCTCCTTTGCAAGGCATCTCATGTGATATTTAAGAGATATACTTATTGAAAAATCTTACAGACCTCATAGCAACCTTTCAGAACAAAGGCTGTTAAGGTTCACTGTGAAACCAAAATAATCAAACAATCACCCTCAAGAATCTCAGTCTCTTGGACACGTAACCAAGATTTTACTTCTCTCATCGACGATCATTCATAATACCATACCAATAGCTACATTCGTCAAATAAAACAATTCTCGGGCATGTTGGAACTGAACACTGGCCATAGCAATTCAATACAGGCAGAATATGTTGTCACAGATGAATAGGCAGATCTGGCACAGCTCCCTTACAGTCTCCATTTGACAGCTTGCTTCTTCGAATCATCAAATGTTTACAGCACAGAAAGAGGCTATTTGGCCCTTCATATCTGTGCTGCTGTTAGCTCCTCCACTGGAGCGATCTACTTCAATCCAACTCCTCAGTTCTTTCCCCATTCCTTTTAATATTATTATTGTTATTCTTCTGGTATTTATCGAACTTCCTATAAATGCCATTATGGCATCAGCTTCAACAACTGTTTGTAGTAAGGCATATTCTGACAATGCTCCCTGAAATGATAATTCCTCTAATCTGTCCTTTTTGTTGTGACTATAATCTCAAATTATGCCCTCTTGTTATTGACTTCCTGATTATTTTA